CTACTAGTATAAACTCTGGTTGAGCTGAACCACCTACCGAAGTATAAGTCTCATGTGTGAATTTACATCGCTTCGATTTACACGCTTCTCGTATCACGGCATTTAATCTGAGCTCTTGCCTTTTTGCGCCGTCTTTACTGTATTGTTTTCTTATTTTATTTTTTCTTGTGTTATTGTACCTTGTGACGGTGTGCAAATAAACTTTTCTTTCTTTCTTTCATTTATTTAACAGGTACAATGCCTAGCGGAGAAGCTCGGTCCAAACATACCGCCCACGTGTGAAGTTAAATTGGAAGAAACGGTGAGATATCATTGTACTACTTAGATAAATACCTAATGTCGTAACATCCTCTCTCAGCACTCCCCTACACTCGCCTAGCGCGCTATATGTCACTCAGATTGCTATGCGCAGTAGTTACAGCTGTGTACAGTCTGTCACTCTTTCAGTCACTTGTAGAAATTTCGTGTTAAACTCAAGAACGGCTTAGTCGATATGGCTGAGAATTACTAAGGAGGTAGCTTAGCCGGAAGGCCTAACTGGTACCGGGGCTCCGGCTCGAAGCAGAAATAGGAGCAGGGTGGTGTTTAGTCAGTAAGAATCTGACACACTCTCTCGCCTAAGCTAAGGCGTGCGAAATCATTGAATGATGTTTCTCCCACAAAAAAGAGAGGTAGCATAGAACCGGACATTTTTTTTATCCAAGGATTTTTCGAAAATCGGGATCGGGAAAAAATGTGATTGTGCTGGGAATGGGCAGAAACTAATTGATGATAAAAGTAAATAAATAATTAGAAGTTCTCTAATCTTCTTTGCCAAATTTCATCCAAATAGGATGGGATATAACAAAAAACGATACCAGATATTTGAAGTAACTTAAAATGAATTTATTTACAGCCACGAAGAATCAGCAAACAGTTAGAGCCCGTCAGTGAAGACGAAAAAGAGGTTTGTAAAATTTCCATAATCAAAAACAAATTATTTCGACTGTTCAATACAATAAAATATAAAAAAATAATCGCACTTTCATAGAAAACTATCGTTTTTGACAGTTCGAAAAAAGTATTGAATTTGACTAGGTACATACTTGGAAACCTATTTTGTCCCTTTCGTCATTTGTCTTGACAGTAATATTAATGTTCATTTTTCAGGTAAAATTCACGGAACCATCGTCATTTTCGATTTACGGCATGGATGTAACTAGTTTACGTAGACTGAATCAACACGAGCGATAGAACGGCAATAAGTCGCTGTCTATCGGCCAGTTTTAATAACCAGTGCCTTTAGCCAAACGTCACTTTAGCGCTTGTCTCCAGACAGAGTAGAAAACTAAATGTGACACTGACAAGTGTCAAAATTTACGTCAATTCCATATAATTTCGTTTTCTATTCTACATGTAGACAAGCGCTAAGTGGCATTTGGCTACAGCTGCAGATGTCTTTTAAGTCATTTGAGTCAGCCAATCAGAGCGTCGAACGTGGTCTAGTTTTGATAACTTTGAACGTTAAAAAAACTCGTTCTAAGGCGTCTGTATAACAACTATTGCACACTTGCACTCGTTTACGACACTGCGCCAATGTTGCTTTGACATTAGTCGGTACATTCGCGGCCATCTTGCTTTGGTTTCGTCTTCTACTAACAGAGACATTGACTGATATACGACTCGTTAAAGCAATGGGAGAAAATAAAATCCTCTATATTACGAATAGATCTGTCTACTTAGTTTCGTTGTACAATCAAAACTGGCCGAATTATATGAGTCGGAAGTTTTGATGACTTACACTTTCATAGAAAATTTACGTTATACTGTGACGTCATAACACAATGTGCCAGAATAGGTATTGTATTTTTTTTAAATTTAAATAAAGATACAAATGCGTAGGTACTTCTTTAATTTACGTCACAGTAACATTCTCCATTGAATTTTCGTGAATACACGCGTGCCCACCAATGTCAAAACGACATTGACACAGTGTCGTAGATGAGTGCCAGTTTGAGCATCTGCGGCGGGTTATGACATTAGCTCCGAACAAAATTCGTCAAAAATCTTAAGTAAATTCTCGGGTTATTAAAACCGGCCGTAAATTGCGAAAATAAAAAAAACCGAAAAATCACGTGACGTCACCACTACGCAGAACGGTTCCGTACCGTATCGTAGTCCTGACGTTACTAACCGATTGTTTTGTTATTGTCGTTTTCACACTAGCTCTTAACTACGCATGTCTAACGTAAACTCATACGCTGTTTCGGAACTACGACGTTTTGAATTGTGCTAATAGTACGCCGATTTGAAATGTTCTCTTGCAATACGCAGATATGAATATCTATTGCGTGAAAAACAATTATGTGAAATGTATTTTTTTATTATTTTTCTAGTTTATAAGTGATTTTGTTAGTTAAGGACGTGTGTGAAAGGGACAAGTAGCTATAATATAAATTGTGAGTGTACTGTTCTAGTCCCGCCACACTTCATAGGAACGCTTTTTTAATTAAATAATATTTTTAAATTATTTGGTTTTATTTTACTCGATTGATGTGTTTCTATGGTCAAACTTTTTATCTGTTGTTATATATTTTCAGTATAATTCAGAAATAGTTTACAGCTATGAATTATGCATGCTATATACCATAGTTAAAAGCACACAAAATATCTATATAAATAAAAATGAATTTCTGTTCGTTAGTCTCGCTTAAACTCTAAAACAGTGTTTTATAAAAACAAAAGGAAAACAAATTCGGTTATGATTGAGTACAGTAAAACGGGGTGAATAGAATTCGAGGAGTGAATAGTTACAGAAGAGGGGTGAATAAAGTGTTGAGAAATTAATCCAACACTTATCCACTCCATTCCTGTATCTATTCACCCCTCGAATTCTATTCACCCCGTTTTATGGTACTTCGTTAATCAAAAATAAATTATTTCGACTGTTTAATACAATAAAATGTTAAAAATAATCACACTATAATTAATTGATTTTATGACCAACTTAGTTTTAGTATTTTTAGAGCAATTATGACGCAAAAACGTGACGTCACAATACACAATCTCGTACAAAATTCATAGAAAACTGTCGTTTTTGACAGTTCGAAAAAAGTATTGTTGGCAATTGGCCAGTTTGTCAAGTGGCTAATACAATGTCTAAAAATCTAGTATAAATTCTAGAACTTTTCTGTTCCTGGTATTTGGTTATATTTTGTACGTGTTAACCACGTCATGTATAAAACAATTAGTGAAAGTAATGATTCGGCCTAGTGTTATTATTTATTATTGTTATATATCCCCATTCTCAGTCGCGGAGAACCTAACGGGTAACCGGGACTCCGGCTCGAAGTGCAGGAGAAGGAACGGGGTGGTTTTTAGTAAGAGTCTGACACTCCCTCCCGCCTCACCCAGGCGGGAGCAGTCATTCGATGATTTTGCCCCCTTAAAAAAAATCCCCATTCTCAAGGTAACAGACAACGCAAGCGTTGTTCCACGCAGGTGTATACTGTAAGGCCGTGAAATCACTATGGTCGAGCCGACGTTGAAGTTTCTTGAGAAATAAAAAAATATATTTAAAATTAAAAATAAATTGTATTTCTCTATAAATTCCTTTTTTACAAAAATTTAAACCTTATATAATTAACAATAATTTAAATTACTATACAATACTAGCGTATTTTTGTGGAATTAATTATAAAACAGATAAAATTTTAAAAATAATTATGTTACTGAATAAAAGTACAAAATGGCAAAGTTATTGAAAATTGAAATTAGTCGCGACATCTACATTTGAGACCCGAAACCAATTGACTATAAATATTTGGATTTTTGCCAGAGATTCTCACCCTCTCGTCTTACAGTTTTTGAATTAGTTTAAAATAATATAATCTACGATTTAATTTAACATTATTATAGCTCATAAAACTAAGTAAATATTAAAACATTCATAAATCCCTCTTATATATTCTAAATTACAACAAAATTCTTTACAATCACTCTTAAACTATAAAATATATTTTTACACGTATTTAAAAATATATGAAAATTTTATACTTTGTTTATTACAAAGATTGGGATTGTTTTTTATGTAAAATTGGTATAATTTTGTAACAGAAAATTATGTAGGTAGGTACCTATGGACAGAGTATCTATAATATTACATTATGTTATTTGTACCGAAGTATCGACATTGATAGCGCATTTTATTAAAGAAATTCAATATTAAGAGAGGAGCCGTTCAAATATTACGTCAGCAGATAGTTTACAATTATTTAATGTAGTGTAATGGGTTACCACGTTACCAGACTTAAGAAAATGACAGATGTCCTTCGTGTCAATGTGTGTGTTCTGTGTGCCACAGTCGTTGCTTCAAGAGACTATGTCCGCCATTTTTCAACATCCTTGGATGGAAACTACTAAATCAATTTTAATGAAATATGCAATAGTTAGAAATAGACCGAAAGGCTTTGAAGCTAAGCCTCCACAAGCGATTCATCATTGTTGACCCTCTTGGCGCACCTCTTGATAGAGTAGTCTCGGATTGAACTTGAAATGCTCTTAACCAAATTAACGACTATAAAATTTTCGTTACGAATATCGATACTTCTAAGGCTGAATTACAATAATTATCTATCTGTTTATTTAAGATTAAAAAAGACACAGCCGTTGTTTGATATATTTTTGCAATTTTTTTTTACTAAAGATTTATGTAATAGGTATATTATTTGACTCACAGTACCTAAAAACTAACGATATTTTTTGCCGACTTCAAAAAAGAAGAGTTCTTAGTTCTATCTGTGTGTATGTATGTTTGATGCGGTTTTTAGAAAAGTTTTAATAATTAATCGACTTAAAAAGCAGGCTGATGTCGGATTTTTTAAACACAGTTTATAAAAGATTTATTTAAAATAAAACGCACTTAAAATGCATATTGCAATACATGAGAAGACAAAAATTAACACATCATTGTTGTACTTTGAAAGTAACTGTACTAAGATTTCAGATTGGATTAATTCATAATTGGATTACTTCTAAGGTAAGTAATTTCGTCTCACCTAACATACTACAAAACATATTTTATGTATTATCTGGCCATTGCTAGTGTCGGGAATCACACTTATACCGCCAAAAAATCCCGCCATTTTGTGAAAAACTAAAATGGCTTCTTCTGTCTTTGGTTTAATTAATGTTGTAATGGGGGTTACCGTTTTCCGCTCACTAGATGGCGCAGATCTAAACAAAGGACTGTGTCCATTGCAGCTGTCAAATATCGAACGTTCATCCTTGTGACAATAGCTAATTCCCTATTGGATGAAAAACGAGAGAGCCACATTACCATTTAGTGAGCGAAAACACAGTAGCCCCCACTAGAAAAATGTATGGCTAGAACACATTTTAACAGATTATTAACTATTTCACGACATTTGGTTTTTTAATTCAAGTTCTGTCGGTATTTTAACTTTTAATGTGGCGCAGGGTTTTTGTTTTCGTCGAGTGAACGTGCAGAGTAAGCAGACTCCGGAGCTAATGAATGCTATGACACAAATCACTGTTAATCCAAGTTGGGCTGCGGCTGTAGAGTAGGTGCCGTGGTAGACCAGGGATCTGAGGCCTTCCGGTAACTCTTCAACGCTCTGAAAGTGAAAATATTATTAAAATTTACTGTTACTGTCATTGTTAGATGAAGAAAATCAACTCAATGGACGTCACTAGTTTTTTTTAAGTGTGGTTTTCATGCTTCGGCACGAATGGGCCGGCTCGACCTGAGTGATACCACGGCCGAGCAGAAAACCGACGTGAAGCAACGCATGCGTTGTGTTTCGTCGTGTGAGTGAGGTTACCGGAGGCCCAATTACTATCCCCTTCCCCAATCTCCCCAATCGCTGAATCCCCAACGATCCTCAAACTCCTAATCCCCAAAAGGCCTGTAACGCACTTGTAACGCCTCTGGTATTCCAGGTGTCCATGGGCGATGCTGATTGCTTACCCTCAGGTGATTTGTCAGCTCGTTCACCGGCTCAAGCCATAAAAAAATTTGTTTATCGGCAGCACTAGCTATCATCTGTCAAATGAGACAGATTAGTAAAGTTCCCCGCGTAAACAGTTGTAACGGCCATTCGGGTTGGTTTGACGAGCATTATGCTGTTTTCTTATCGGAGTCTGTTTTATAATAAACTTTCAATGTTTGAGTATTGAGTTTTACTTAAAAGTAGGTGGGATATATTCTTCCACTACTCTCGCTGCGGTTGCCCTAAGAGCCGACTAAGGCCGATCGCTTATGCATACTCGCATTGGCCGTCACGAGCCGCTTACAAGTGGCAGTATTTAGAACATATAGCTGGTAATTCTGTGCTATGGCGTAGCACCAAACTCCACATTTGCTCTTACATAAAAGAGTAACCTATGGAGTTTCTTACTCGTTCTTCTCCATAGGAATGAGCAAATAGCTTCACTTTTATTTTTTTTGTTGACGTTCAAATGTGCCTTTCTGGTCTAATGACTGTAGCTGATTTAAAAGAGGAATTGAAGAAAAAACTGGGAAAATGCAGATTTTGTTGCAAGGAAATCATAATAATCATTCATTCAACGGTCTATTGAAACAAGTGACCGTACATAAGGCGGACATTAATTTTATTTCTCGTCCTTGGTCAACGCGATTATAAACTTAAAGTGGGATAGCGATGCTTCGGCACAAATGGGCCGGCTCGACCGCAGTGATACCACGGCCTCACAGAAAACCGACGTGAAACAACGCCTGCGTTGTATTTCGTCTTGTGAATAAAGTTACCGGAGGCCCAATTTAGTTTCGGGACGTCGGACAATCCCCGAACCCCCAACAATCCTCGAATTCCCAATTCCCAAAAGGCCAGTAACGCACTTGTAACACCTCAGGTGTGCCAGGTGTCCACGGGCGGCGCCGATTGCTTACCATCAGGTGATCGGAGTGCTCGATTAACCGGCTTATCATTAAAAAAGAACTTACCATTTCAATCCAAGCCACAGGTAATATAAGTCCATTAGGAAGGAATTTGACAGCAGAGAACATGTCACTTTTTCTCACTTGAATATTGATTTGTAAACTGAAACAAGTAATACATAAAAAATATATTTTTACATTAAACGATCTTAATGAACTCTTCTACCAAACAAGCCCTTTCGTCTGATATGTATAATGATGATAGTTGAGACAAAAATTGATCCGCCATTTTATATCGACGGCCATCTTAGATTTAGATTTACAAACGAAAATAAATAGCGTGAAACAACGTTTGCGTTGTGTTTCGCCGTTGGAGTGAGGTTCCCGGAGGCCTAATTACCGCCGTTGTAGTATCCCCATCCATCCTCCAATACTCATATTCCTAACTCCAAAAAGGCCTAAACGGCAACTTGTAACGCCTCTGGTGTTCCAAGTGTCCATGGGTGGTGCCGATAGCCTACCATCAGGTGATCCATCTGCTCATGTACCGCTTCATCCCATAAAAACTATTCTTAATTCTTACCTAGATTTTCCACTGAGAGCTATTCCTAAAGTAGGATGCAGGTCGATAAAGGAGTCGTGTTTCAAAGGGTCAGGTTTTAGTCCAAGTATATCCTCACGAAGTTTAGGGTCAGCCAAGTAGAAATGGGGGAACGACACCAAAGCTGGGGCTCCTGGAAATGTCAAAATAATATTATTTGCTAACTAACGGCGGAAATTATTAACTTATTTCAATTCGAAATGGGCATTGATTGAGTTTTGGATGGATGGAATGGGAATGCGCGCGAAGCCGCGGGTAGAAGCACTAGCTTCTTCAGCCAGCCGAACCAGAGCCGAGCCAGCTTCTTCATCCCAAGGATAATAAGTAGCCTATGTTACAATAATTATCGTGAGATACTAAATTAACTAAAAATCGCGGGTTACTCACGTGAATATACTGAGAAAAGCTCTACTAGTTTCGAACCTCAGAGAGATTCGTCGCGGCGATGTCGCATGTACTTGTGTAGTAGGTATGTCTGTATGTTTGTTTGTTACTCAGTCACATCAGTACGGCTGAAGGGACCGAAATGAAATTTGGAACAGAGGTAGTTTATGATCTGAAGGGATCTAATACATAGGTTACTTTTTACGCGGTTACGCGAGCGAAGCCGCTGGTAATAGCTAGTGTTTTTATAATAATAGCCTCTTGTCTGTTAAAAGTTGCGGGTATAATGTGTTTTATACCGGGAGCCGGTGTTTCAACATAAACGGATAGGGTAGATGACAAAATTTTTATTTAAATGTCCGTCTGGTAGATTATTTTAAAACATTACACACGTATTTTTTATTTTCTTACAGAAACGAATACCTTCGACGATATATTGATTTGAAATGTCGCGTGACGTCACTTCTATGTACATTTTATACGTAGAAATGACGTTTTAGCCCCCACTCCTAAACTTTGATTCGTTGTATCTAAGTATTACTAAACAACAAAATAAAAAAATACGTGTCTAATATTTTTTCATTACCTAACTGACGGACAAATTAGATATTTAATTTTCATACCCTGTTATCATCCCAATTATCGTGAGATATCCTGAATTAACAGAAAATGACAGTTTACTCAAGTAAATATACAGAGAAAAGTCTCTTTCTAATGATGGTCGCCCCCTCTTCGGCATGGGGCGATCCGAATGATCTGCGGATACCGCACGATCTCCGGGGAGGCGGAGAACCTTGTTTTTTACTCCCTTAAAAAAAAATGATGGTCGCCGTACCGCACACGCTGCTTATGAGAAAGAGTCCCACTGTGACTCGAAACTAGTAGAGCTTTTCTCAGTGTGAGTAAACCGATAATTTTAGATGACTGGCGATGACGCCCACTTCTCATGCATGAGGGTGCTGGTACGAAATCTACCAACGGCAAGTACCAATGTGACTTTTTCACGAAGGAAAACATCGTGAGGAAACCTGGGCTAATAATTTATAATTATAAGTTTGAAATCGCCAACCTGCATTGAGCAAGCGTGGAGATTAATGCTCAAACCTTCTCCGTGTGAGAAGAGGCCTTTGGTCAGCAGTGGCCACTTATAGGTTGTTGATATGTGAAATAAATCTTACCCATGGTACAATCAGTGACGTTGATGATTCCTCGTGGTGGGCAGGTCGCAGTGTCAATCTCACAGTAACATTGGTTCTCAGGGTTGTGACCAGGATCATCGAAGACGTTCATAGGCATTCTGTACCGGTACAGCTCAATTCCGTCTACTATCTGGAAAAATAAATTATAATTATTTTATTGACTACGTTTAAAAAACCGACTTCAACCCCCCTCCCCCCCCATTCACTAAAACCATCTCCTTAGTGTAACAAACATTTTCTGAAAACCGGTACAGCCAATCGCGAGATGCACAAACATACATGCTGATCAAATTGAGAACGTCCTGGCTTTTAAAGTCGGTTAAAAAGTTTATTAATTCGTGATAACTCGCGACCGACATAGAACCAAAGTTATCGACATAGCCCAAAGAATCAGTAAGCTGAAGTGGCAGTGGGCCGGTCACATTTGTCGAAGAACCCATAACCGTTGGGGTAAACGTGTTCTAGAGTGGAGACCGCGTCTAGGCAAACGCAGTGTAGGGCGCCCTCCAGTTAGGTGGAATGACGACATCTGCAAGGTGGCTGGCATTGGTTGGATGAGAAGAGCTGAAGATCGAGCTCAGTGGCGTGCCATAGGAGAGGCCTATGTCCAGCAGTGGACGAATACGGGCTGATGATGACGAACTCTCGACCTCCACGTGATTTAAAAAAATTGCCTACTTGAGCACCTGCAGTAGCCCCAGACATAATAATCGACTGCGGTTGGCGCTAGCTGGGTTCGAATCCCGCATGAAACAACTCTTTGTGTAAAATTTCTATTGATCTGATTTGACCCACAAATTGTTGTCCGGGTCTGGGTGTCATGTATATGTGAAATTGTATGTTAGTAAACGCACACACGACACAGGAGACAATCCTAGTGATCAAATGGTGAGCCATCGGTACCATTCATGGCCAACCGGATGATTCACAACTGTGTTGCTGAAGGATGGGGATTCGGGAGATTGGGGAAGGGTGGGAGGGATGTAGGCCGTTTTTCATGGTTTTCATTTTAATTCCTTTTCATAATATCTTACTATCTAACTAATCCTTACTAATATTATAAATCGGAAAGTGAGTTTGGTTGTTTGTTTGTTCCACTTTAACGCCGTAACTACTAAACCGATTGCTTTGAAATTTTGCAGACGTAAAGTTAGAAGTCTGAATTAAATAATAGGGTACTTTTTATCCCGGACAAATTTGATATTCCCGAGGAAAAACAAAAGTATTGGTATAGATGGCGCTGTGTGTAACGGTATATGTCACATTGGCTTTTTATCCTTTTGTGACGCGAGCGAAGCCGCGGGTAAAAGCTAGTATAAATGCGAAAGTATGTGTGTCTGTCTGTATGTTTGTTACTCAATCACGTCAATACGGCTGAAGGGATCGTGATGAAATTTGGGACAGGGATAGATTATGGTTTGGAATAACACATAGGCTACTTTTTATTCCACGGTATTGCGGGCAAAGCCGCAGAAAGAAGTTAGTTTTATTATATAAAATAATAGTTTTGTAAACTCACCTCGATAGTCTTCTCATATTGAAAAGGCAGTCTTCGGCATAGGTTGGGGTAGAAGACGTGGAGAGTGGTGGTCTTGTCCAGCTGTGACGGTGGGAATATAGACCCATCAGATGCCTTTATGCTGTAAGCAGAAAAATACAATATTAATCTTATACATACTAGTAGTTAAATAAAGCTCAAGAGTTTGTTTGTCTGTTTGTTTGAACGCGCTAATCTCAGAAACTACTGTGCCTTTAGCCAAACGCCACTTTAGCGCTTGTCTACAGAGAGAGTAGAAATCAAAATGTATGGGGATGACACTGACAAGTGTCAAAATTTACGTCAATTCCATATAATTTGGGTTTCTACTCTACATGTAGACAAGCGGTAAATTGCATTTGGCTACAGCTGCTGGTTCGATTTGGAAAATCCTTTTTGAAACAATTGAATTTATTTATGTAAATAGGCTTATTTTTAATTTTTTTTTTTATTAATTAATTTTATCAAGCGAACGATGAGGCCGACATTTCCTAACCGACTACTCTGAGAAGAAATGCCGAAACAACCTCAGAGATCCGTCCCTTTTATAGTCCACACAATTATGAATGATTGCCTCGTTGGCCGAGTGGTTGCAAGTGCGACTGCCGGGCAAGGGGTCTCGGTTTCGAATCCCGGTTCAAGCAAAGTAAAACTGGGTTTTTAAAATAAACTCAGTAGTAGCACAGAGCCTGGAATTGTGCCCGGTATATGGCAATAGGCTCACCCCCTATTACACGGGACTCATAACATAAGTAGTGAAAAGTGGGTGTTACATTGTACAGTGGCATTAAGTGCCGTAATGTGTATTGTGTTGTTATCTATTGAAAACTTAAATCCTTGTTAAAACCCAATAAAATAGCTTGATAATAGTCAAACTTCGATCATTGGTTCCAACCAGTTCTAACAATCAATGTAATGTTCGCCCACAATCACAAAATGATAGTTTACGTTTTTTTTTATAAACATGAGCTGATGGTTGGCTCAGGCGTTTAATTATCTCTCTGCTGATACCCCAACGACCTTATGACACGGCGTGTTACAAAATAATGATAATATAATGTAGATTCGTCTCATTGAAATTGTCAATGACTTACATAATTCCACGCGCCATTTTTTTAAGATGGCGTCTGTAACGGCGGGAAATTGGGTACTTTTCTTAATCAAAAATAAATTATATCGACTGTTCAGTACAATAAAATATATTAAAAATTATTAACGCTGTCATTAATTGATTTTATGACCAACTTAGTTTTAGTATTTATTCAGCAAATTTTTAAGAAATAACTATGATGTTCGACGCTAAAAAAACATGACGTCACAATACACAATCTCGTACAAAATTCATAGGAAACTGTCGTTTTTTTGACAGTAATTTCGAGTGAAGTATTGATTTTGACTTGTTGGCAAGTACCCAATTGTTGTCCTATCTTTTTTATGGAATAGGAGGCAAACGATAACGGTTGTCTATGATATTGTTTTTTTTGTGTTAATGTAAGCCTAAGGTAGAATAGGGTATATGCCTAAATATTATTTTAATGTCCATCTGGTACATTATTTTAAATTATTAGACACGTATTTTTATTTTTTTTTAAAACACGAATACTTTCGGCAATATATTGACATTACACACGTATTTTTATTTTCTTACAGAAACCAATACTTTCGACGATATAGGTATTGATTTGAAATGTCGTGTGACATTTTATACGTAGAAATGACGTTTTAGCCCCCACTCCTAAACTTTGATTCGTTTTATCTAAGCATTGTTTTATTATACGACAAAATGAAAAAATACGTGTCTAATATTTTTTCATTACCTAACTTACGGACTAATTATATTTTTAATTTTCATACCCTGTCATTATTCCAATTAATATTATTTTTGATTTCTCCTCACCTGTTGCACTCCGGACTGCCCCAGAAGGTAAGATGGTCGTTTCCATCAAACTGTTCGATGATGTTCATCTTGTCCTTGTCATATTCTCCAGTATTGATAGTGAATCTTTCAGAGACTGTGCCGTTTTTCTGTATAATACACAATTTTATTATAAGTTGGGTTTAGTGTTACCACGCGTTATAACGCGTTATAAGTATATGTTATAACACGCTGGCATTGATTGAGATTCTTGAAAATATCCATGTTTCTGGAATGTTTTGAAAGTGAGCAGAGAAATAAATACTGAGGTTTTTTTAAACCTAGTTATACATTGCCTGACCCGGGAATCGAACCCGAGATCCCTTGCCCGGCAATCGCACTTGCGACCACTAGCCCAACGAGGCACTCCAGAACGAGTAACAAACACTTTTCTGAAAACCGCATCAAAATTGGTTTAGTACATGTATAAATACGGCCTCACAGAAAACCGACGTGAAACAACACTTGCGTTGTGTTTCGTCGTGGGGTGAGGTTACCGGAGGCTCAATTACACACCCTCCCCCTCCCGTCCCCAATCACTCCAATCCATGAATCCCCAACAATTCTCAAACTCCTAATCCCCAAAATCTCCAAAAGGCCGGTAAAGAACTTGTAACGCCTTCCAGGTGTCCTTGGGTGACGCCGATTGCTTACCATCAGGTGATCCGTCTGCTCGTTCACTGCAAACCTGCTTTTTTAGAAGTCGTTTATAATCGTATATAATCTTACCGTCACAAGCAATCCAAACTTCTCAAATTTCAGTTGCCCTCCGAGACTCAGGAAGGGTTTAGCTGTATCGATGATACTGTCATCATAGCCCCATAGGAATCTGTGGAAAAAACCCTTAATATGAAAATCAGTTCATCATTATATTTTTCAGATTATTCACGTTATCTTTATTTACACCTTTTACACACACACTTAAGTGTGGGAGAGCATTCCAGTACGGTTTTACCCGCTCTGCTCGGCTCCTATAAATCTCAGCGTGAAGTTTTATAGCCCGTAACCGTCCTGGATAAATAGGCTATCCAACGCAAAAAGATTTATTCCATTTGGTCTAGTAATTCCGGAGATTAGCTCGTTTAAATGATAAACTATATTTTTTAAAATACGATCTCCAACCCGCTGAGAGTGAAGAATATTGTGTACTGTTCTTTTGTAGATAAGGTATTTTTTTAAAGGGGGAAAATCATGGAACGACTGCGCCCGCCTGGGTGAGGCGGGAGGGAGTGTCAGACTCTTACTGACTAAAAACCACTCCGTTCCTTCTCCTGCACGTCGAGCCGGAGCCCCGGTTACCCGGTTGGTTCTCCGCGACTCCGAATCGGTGTAGATAAGGTATATGTACTATCCAGTCCAGCAGAAAACCCTCAAGGGCTTTTAATGATAATGATGATGATGATAATATCTTACCGGTGTACTGGTAATTCGGCGAAGGCGTTCGGATGATTTGCCCAAGTCATGGCGGAGCTCAAAGTCAATTGTCCAAGACTGTTCAGGTTCATACTTAATGCTTTCGAAATCACTCCCTGTAATAAAGAAATTCATTAAATTATGGACCATCATCAATAGATCGTGTCAGCATTTATGGAATACTAGTTTCTGTTAATTGGTTCGCCCGCGTTCCGTGGGATAAAAGGTGGCGTATGTGCACGTCGTGCCGGAGCCCCGACAACCCGTTAGGTTCTCCGCGACAGTCATCTACCCTATTGTATTCTGTGTTGTTCTACATGACATTTGTCCAGCTATTTTTAGACAGACCCCCCTATGTTTATATAGCAAGCTTATGTATTATTTACCACGATATATTGTATTCAATATAATAAAATATTGAACAATAATCAGCGTATCTTATCTCGGTCTCTATTATTATGGCAAAATAACAAGATACGAACTGTATTCTGTTAAATTTGTATTTCCCAAACATTAATACAATGTTTTCTAGAAATTCCTGCATCAGGAAGGTCATTGGCATTTGGCTAAACCTGGTTATTTTTAATTACAACATAGGGCTCGTACACAAAAAAATACGATGCGAATAGCTGCGATGCGATTTCGTGCGACAAGGCGTCTCCTAGGGTGACCATTCCTTCGACGACCGTCAACCGTACTAAACGTATTTTAAATTGAAAACTAAGTCGTGACATGGGTCGTAAAAAGAAGTGTGCACTTCTGTTATTGCTTAGGAGATACAGGAAAAAGAAACAAAGAAGATTTTGGCGCGATGCGAATCAATTCGCAAGTTCTTGCGATACATAGAGGGAGCTTTCATCGCAGTTTTGTGTACGAGCCCATACCTCTACTCATACTGTGGATTAATTTATGGCACGTTTGACAGATACTGGGTAGCAACGCTCTCTGATAAACCTGAACCTTTTATACTGCGATTTCGAAATCACCTGGCAAGCATGACGATATTTTAATAAACTATTTGTAGTTCTAGTGGCTAAGGCTATTCACTACGCAGTCGTTGGCCAACTGGCTGCTTTACAACATATCGTGGATTCGATCCACGAAAAGATTCTTTGTATTTTATGGAACAGAGAGTAAAGTTCAAAGTCAAAGACTGCCTCGTTGGTCGAGTGGTCGCAAGTGCGGCTGCCGGGCAAGGGGTCTCGGGTTCGATTCCCGGGTCGGGCAAAGTGTTACTGGGTTATTGAAAATCTCAGTAGTACCACGGAGTCGGGACATGTGCCCGATATATGGCAATAGGCTCACCCTCTATTACATGGGACTCATAACAAATAGTGAACAAGTGGGTGTTACATTGTATAGTGGTATTAAGTGCCGTAATGTGCGCCTTTGCCTACTCCTTCGGGGATAAAAGGCGTGATGTTATGTTATGTTAAACTCAAAGTCTTTATTTGCACGTTAAGGTAATACATACAGGTCTTATGAAATAACAGGCACAGCTTAACGGCCTTTTTCAGACGTTGCAGATCAAACTCAAACTCAAAAGCATTTATTTCAATTAAACCATAATTTGGTACTTTTGAAACGTCAACAAATATGAAATAAATAGTCTGTCAGTCTGTCCGTCAGTGAAGCTAGGCGCTCGTTCCAAAATGTCGATTCGAATGGAGAAGAACGAGCAAGAAACTCTTTTTAAATTACTCTTTTAAAAAAAAGTCTGTTTTACATTGCTCTGATACATATTCCAATACTAGCTTTTACCCGCGGCTTCGCTCGCGTCACAAAAGGATAAAAGTAGCCATCTATACCAATAATTTCGTTTTCCCTCGCGAATATCAAATTTTTCCAGGATAAAAAGTACCCTATAATTTAATCCAGACTTCTAACTTGACATCTGCAAAAATTCAAAGCAATCGGTTTAGTAGTTACGACGTGAAAGTGGAACAAACAAACAAACTCACTTTCCGATTTATAATATTATATATTATATATATAGTAAGGATTGTACACACATGTGAGAATAATTTAAAGACATACCTGACGCATCATACAAATAACAGAACGTACTAAAATTTTAGGGGTGTCACTAGCTACGTACTACCTACTAGCTGTTCGCTACATGTGTTTGTTGTTTACATGGATGCTATCTGTGCGTGAGCTGTCATTCGACATGTATCATGTGTCGCCACAGTATGATCCACATCCACAAATTGTTGTCCAGTTCCGAGATTTACGTACATGAACTTGTATATTTGTAAACGCACCCACGGCACAGAAGAAAACCCTAGTGTGGGGCAATGTTTCAAAAAATACAGAATAGCTCATCAATTTGACCGTCAATGAAGTTCCAAAATGTAGATATGAAAATACATAACATAACATCACGCTTTTTATCCCCGAAGGAGTAAACAGAGGTGCACAATTGCATATTACGACACTTAACTCGTCGAGTACCGGTTTTATAGACACAATTAAAGAACAATAGGTCGCGGTCACCGGTGACCGCTTGGTGTTTGACAGTTTAATGCCAATGCCAATACCGGACAATATAGTACCCCCTTTTCACTATTTATGTTATGAGTAACATGTAATAGGAGCTTATTGCCATATACCGGGCACAACTCCAGACTCCGTGCTACTACTAAGAACTTAAAAAAACAGTAATACTTTGCTCAACCCGGGGATCGAACCCGAGGCCCATTGCCCGGCAGTCACACTTGCGACTCGGACAACGAGGCAGCAGAAGCAGTAGATATGAAAAGAAGAAGCAATCAGACTCCATCGTCATACTTACCAACAAAGGAAGATTGGGCACTACAACACGATCGAAGTGAGCTCCATTGCTCTTGTCAGCTAAAAACTGGAAGTGATTCCTTTCTTGAAAGCTTAGCTTATCGCCATTAAACTGTATATTTACTCTTTCCAACTGTTGTCTGGAACAAAACAAATAATATATTATTAACTAGCTTTTACCCGCGGCTTCGCTCGCGTCACAAAAGGACAAAAAGTAGCCTATGTGACATATACAGCGCCATCTATACATCATCATCAAATTTTTCCGGGATAAAAAGTACCCTATTATTTAATCCGGACTTCTAACTTTACGTCTGCAAAAATTCAAAGCAATCGGTTCAGTAGTTACGTCGTTAAAGTGGAACAAACAAACAAACAAACAAACTCACTTTCCGATTTATAATATTAGTAAGGATAACGGCTTATGTAGTGTAGATGTCCAGTCAACAAGGATGTAGCGAGGTTGACTGTCCAGGCGACACACGTACTTAGGTATCGTCATGAGCTAATGTTCACATGTAAACAGCAGCTCATGTAGTGTAGATGTCCAGTCAACAAGGATGTAGCGAGGTTGACTGTCCAGGCGACACACGTACTTAGGTATCGTCATGAGCTAATGTTCACATGTAAACAGCAGCTCATGTAGTGTAGATGTCCAGTCAATAAGGATGTAGCGAGGTTGACTGACCAGGCGACACACGTACTTAGGTATCGTCATGAGCTAATGTTCACATGTAAACAGCAGCTCATGTAGTGTAGATGTCCAGTCAACAAGGATGTAGTGAGGTTGACTGTCCAGGCGACACACGTGCTTAGGTATCGTCATGAGCTAATGTTCACATGTAAACGGCAGCTTATGATCACTCAGCAGCTGATGATTTTAACACGTGGTGTTAACATACTCATGATGATGCGACAGAAAAACTATGGTTTTTTCATGAGACATTGTGGTATAACCATGTTTAGGTTGCTAATTGAATCAGTATAAACCCAAAGTTATTTTCGTCATAATAAAAATTATAATAACTATGTATTTAGATATATAATTAGCAAACCTGTTATATAAAAAAGCCTTGAAGCTTAATTTATCTCATGGAGGTTCTAAAAATAAATACAAGAGACGCATATGGAATCTCACCGTTTAAATCGAATGAAAATCTATTTTAAGTTATCATTAACATAAACAGCCTATATCCTATAAATGCCCACTGCTGACCAAAGGCCTCTTCTCACACGGAAAAGGTTTGAGCATTAACCACCACGCTTGCTCAATGCGTGTTGGCGATTTCAAAGTTATAATTAATAATTATAAGCCCAGGTTTCCTCAAGATGTTTTTCCTTCACCGTTTGTCAGTGGTGTCTAAATAATCTTAGAAAGTACATATAACTTGGAAAAGTCACATTGGTACTTGCCGTTGGTAAACGTGGCGTCTTAAACCTCCGGACCACTACGACATTCATTTTTAACTTAACATAACATAACATCACGCCTTTTATCCCCGAAGGGGTAGGCAGATGTGCACACAGAAGTAACACCCACATTTCACTATTTATGTTATGAGTCCCATGTAATAGGGGGTGAGCCTGTTTTTTAGTTATCATTATCAAAATATTGTGTTTTTGATTTTTGACGGCTTTGTTTGGTCAGAGCAAAAAAGTGTTAAGTGTAGAAGAGCCATGCTTCGGCACTAATAGGCCGGCTCGACCGGAGTGATACCACGGCCGAGCAGAAAACCAATGTGTAACAACGCTTGGGTTGTGTTTCGTCGTGTGAGTGAGGTAACCAGAGGCCCAATTACCTCCCTCCCCAATCTCCCCAATCCCTGAACCCCCAACAATCCTCAAATTCCTAATCCCCAAAAGGCCGATATCACACTTGTAATGCCTCTGGTGTTCCAGGTGTCAATGGGAAACGCCGATTGCTTACCATCAGGTGATCCGTCAGCTAGTTTACCGGCTTTATCCATAAAAAAGCTAAGTCCTGGTTAGTAGTCTTGGATTTAATTCCAGTGTTAGACAAAGTATATTAATATTTGGTTTTTGAGAATTTCTATCTAGTAATAAAAATAAATAATAATAAAAAAAGACTGCCTCGTTGGCCGAGTGGTCGCAAGTGCTCCTACCGGGCAAGGGGTCTCGGGTTCGATTCCCGGGTCGGGCAAAGTATTACTGGGTTTTTAAAAAAATCTCAGTAGTAGCACGGAGTCTGGAAATGTGCCCGGTATATGGCAATAGGTTCACCCCCTATTACAAGGTACACACTCATAACATAAATAGTGAAAAGTGGGTGTTACATTGTACATTGGGATTAAGTGCTGAATTGTGCACCTCTGCCTACCCCTTCGGGGATAAAAAGGCGTGATGTTATGTTATGTTCTATATAATAATACACGACATAATAATATGGTAGTTAAAATTAGCTAATATGCACACTCCTACCCACCCCTTTCTCAAATAAAATGCTTATGTTACAACACAAAAATAAAATTAATACGATATCTAGCGTTTTATGGCTATATTTTGGGTGTTATCACAAGAACAATAAATACAAGTATCGCAATCACCATAAAAAGGCTAAACAACGGTGGAATCTATTCTATCTATTTGGATATAGAATTACTGTATTCCCCACCCATGGTGTTATAACCGAAAAGTCTACTAACATGACATTATGACTCACATTTCTCTAAAGCAGAGATGTATTAAACTTCGAGGGCGCCTCGTAAGCACCTCATAGGCTCTCCCTCATAACTGCCGGGTAAGGTTTCGGGATAGAATCCCGGGTCGGGCAAAGTATTACTGGGTTTTAAAAATTCTTAGTAGCAGGACGGAGTCTGGAAATGTGCCCGGTATATGGCAATAGGTTCACCCCTTATTACATGGGGCTCATAACATAATTAGTGAAAAGTGGGTGTTACATCTGTGTGCACCTCTGCCTACCCCTTCGGGGATAAAAGGCGTGATTAATCTGGTGTGTCTGGTGCTGTATAAATTTTTTTTTTTATTTCTTTATTCAGATGTAGATATTTCTTTCTAAACTGTGAATGGAATGAATCAATTAAAGCTATGTAGGTTTTATTTAAGGTAGGTAAATGTGTATTTAATATCATATATGCAATGCATATCCACTTTTCACTATTTATGTTATGAGTCCCATGTAATAGGGGGTGAGCCTATTGCCAAATACCTGGTACAATTCCAGACTCCGTGCTACTACTAACAAAGTTTCGATAACCAAAAAAAACATTAGGTAATAACATTTTAAACAATTCACTTAGAAATTTAAAAAAAAAACGATGGCATACCCAAAAATTCTTTACCCGACTCGATAATCGAAAACTTAAAACCTTACTTAGATTTGAATTGACAGATATTGAACAGCGCTCTCTGATTAATCTGAATCGTTTAAACTGTAATCTCATCCGTCTGCTAAACATAGAGATAAGACCAAACTCCTCTTACGTAGGAGAGGTATGTAGTCGAGTAGTGGACTTTTCCTTTTCCCCGCTCAAGTAAATAACTTTAACGTACTTAGAAATGATTAATATCGTTAATTAATAGCATCGATATAAATACTATAATCTATATAAGTATATAAAAGAAAGTCGTGTTAGTTACACCACTTATAACTCAAGAACGGTAGAATAGATTTGGCTGAAAATTAAGGATTAGTAGGGAGGTAGCTTAGAGCCAGGAGACCGACATAGGATACTTTTTGACCAAATTTTTTTTTACTTTTTACCGAAAATCACGAATGGGGACGGGAAAAAATGGGATTACGCGTACGTAGTCGCAGGCAGAAGCTAGTTATTTATGTACTAGCCACTTCGGCGCGGTTTAACCCGCTCTGCTTGGCTCCTATTAATCGTAGCGTGATGTTTAATAGCTTATACACTTCCTTGATAAATGGGCTACTCAACACAAAAGAATTTTCCAAATCAAATCAATAGTTTTTAAGATTCGTGCGTTCAAATAAACCAACTCTTTAGCTAAGATTTACTCAATCCCGATTAACTTTGAACTCATTACGACGTCACTAGACATGTTGACGTATATAACATTACGTCACGTCATGTCAAACATATTTATGTGTCAGCTACTACCGATGTGTATGTCAACGACGTCACCCGGAATTTACAAAGTGTCTATTTGACAAAAAAATGTATGTCAAGATGGCTTTATCCATGTTTTTCTATTATTAGAATCCTAAGTTATAGGTAGTGAATCTGCTTTAGGCGTCACCTAAATATCAACACAGTTGCGGAGATCCTAACGGGTTACCGGGGCTCCGGCTCGACGTGCAGGAGAAGGAACGGGGTGGATTTTAGTCAGTAAGAGTCTGACACTCCCTCCCGCCTCACCCAGGTGGGAGCAGTCATTCGATGATTTCCCCCCTTAAAAAAATATCAATACAACATTTTGTAACTGGAAAGTGTGACAGAGATATTGAAAGGAGAGTGAAAGCGGGAAATAGTGTTAATGGTGCCTTACACTCTGTAATAACAACTTTTATCCCCGAAGAGGTAGGCAGATGTGTACATTATACCACTTTTCTACATTATACCACTGTACCACTTTTCACTATTTATGTTATGAGTCCCGTGTAATAGGGGGTGAGCCTATTGCCATATACCGGGGACAATTCCATACTCCGTGCTACTACTGAAATATTTTTTTAAAAACGCAGTAATACTTTGCCCGACCCGGGAATCGAATCCGAGACCCGTTGCCTGGCAGTCGCACTTGCGACCACTCGGCCAGCGAGGCAGTCATACATATAAATGATTATGTATTAAAATCAAATCAAACAATTTATTTACATAAAACATGGTATTTTTATGTTATAAATAAAATGTATGGCATGTCTCGCCATGGAATATGGCGCACAAAATAATTATTAAACGAAATAAATTAATACGAATGAATCATTTTACTTTATAATCACATTAGTTATAGATAAATAGAAACTTACTAAATGTCAAGTCAATTAATACATAGCTTTTTATTAATTTAAAATACGTTAAATTTAAATTTAATTACATTTAAAGAAATACATTCGGGAGAATTGGATAATAAAATTATTTATAATAATATATGATCTTTTTTATAATTTTATTATTCAATTCTCCCGATTTACTTGATTTAGGTATTCATGAATTATACCGGCCTGAATTATTATCACTCTATTTTTAAATAATTTTACTTTATAATTTTTATTATCATTAGGAAGTTTATTATAATTATATTTTTAGGGCCATACATTATACGCTTTTTTGTGCCCCAGGGTTATTTTAGTACTATGTAGACAGGCAATTAATATTAATTTTGCACCTGTTCCTTTCCTTATAACCACTTCATATATTTGTTCAAATAGATGAGGAGTTTTTATGAACAAACAGTGCTATCTCTAAGATGTACTTAAACATCAACAGCCTATAAATGCCCACTGCTGAGTGAAGCCTCTTCTCACACGGACAAGGTTTAAGCATTACTCACCACGCTTGCTCAATGCGGGTTGACGATTTCAAACTTATAATTAGAAATTATAAGCCCAGGTATTCTCATCCTATTCCTTCACCGTTTGTCAGTGGTGTCTTAGATTTTTAACATTCTTAGAAAGTACCTACATATAACTCGGAAAAATTCGCATTGGTACTTGCCGTTTGCGTTGGTAGGTTTCGAACGCGCACCCTCATGCATGAGAAGCGGGCTTCTTAAACCTTCGGGCCACCACGACTAGAAGTTTATTCTAGAGGTAAATATACAGTGTGACTTGTAACTCGATGGAATCCTCTCGGGAGGTGATAATACAACTAATTTCTTACAAAATTAGCCCTTTTTTAAGGGGGGAAAATCATCAAATGACTCGTCCCGCCTGGGTGAGGTGGGAGGGAGTGTCAGACTCTTACTGACTAAAAACCACCCCGTTCCTACTCCTGCACTTCGAGCCGGAGCCCCGGTTACCCGTTAAGTTCTCTGCGACTCCATATCGGTATCAGCCCTATTGGGCCCCATCGGTGGTGGTCCGATGGCTCTTTGAGGCGCCAGTTTCTGAGATATCCAACGCTTTCAGATTTGATGTATGTGTGTTTTGATATACATATTATGTACTAATTAATGCTTGATAATTAGATCGGCAAGTGTGTGTATTCATTCATAAATAAGCTAAAATGTATGTATGTATGTATGGTCGGACAAAGTCGAATGACGTGTTCTCATATTATATATCTTGTTTACTTACTTATACGTGCTAATGTCCGGAAAAGCCAATCAAGAGCCATCGGACAATGCTTATGTACACGAATACAAATCAAGCTATGAACGTCCAGTATAAACTGACTGTGGAATATGAGGAAAGATCATACAAATCGAGACCATGATAAGCTGGTTATGTATAGCTTGGCGTTGTACTATACGTAGGTACGTCATCAACGAGTTTCACATGCGAAATAAATGTGTTTTTTTTTGTGTAGGTGTGTCACTGCCTCATCGGCCGAGTGGTTGTAAGTGAGACTGCCGGGCAAGAGGTCTCGGGTTCGATTCCCGGGTCGGGCAAAGTAATACTGGGTTTTTCAAAAAAATTCACAGTAGTAGCACGGAGTCTGGAAATGTGCCCGGTATATGACAATAGGCTCACCCCCTATTACATGGGACTCGTAACATAAATAGTGAAAAGTGGGTGTTACATTGTACAGTGGCATTAAGTGCCGTAATATACACCTCTGCCTACCCCTTCGGGCATAAATGGCGTGATGTTAAGTTATGTTACTTTAAAAAATTAAACAAGGTCGATGAAAAAGTGTGACCAACAAGACAGTGATATACTTTTTAATATATTAAAGTCACAGATTAAATATAAAATGATCACGCGATGACAGTCTGCGCAGGAGTTTTGTACGACCGATAACTTGTAGTACAGATAACAATAATTATATTTTTATATATATAACTTGCCCTATGAACTCAATATACGAGTAAGTATATAACAAATGCAATTTATTAAATAAATAAAGTATTGATAATTGAAAACTTGTAATTAATTTGTGTTATTGGGACTGTATTGGGTTTCGTTTTGGATCCAATTATAGATTTGAGGATTGGGGATTGGGGATTGGGTCTTTGGTGACCTTACTCACGCGGTGAAATATAACGCACTGATTTATTTTATTTCTAGCTACTTTCGCGGGGTTGCACCCGCTCTGCTCGGCTCCTATTGTATCATAGCGTGATGTTTTGTAGCCTATGACCTTCCTCGATGAATGTACTATCCAACACAAAAAAACTTATTCAAATCAGACTTGTAGTTACGGAGATTATATTAAGACATTTCTAGGTAATATAACTTTAACATAACATCACGCCTTTTATCCCCGAAGGGGTAGGCAGAGGCGCACACAGCAGTAACACCCACTTTTCACTATTTATGTTATGAGTCCCATGTAATAGGGGGTGAGCCTATTGCCATATACCGCGCACATGTCAGTACTACTACTAAGAATTTCTTTTTTAAAAACTCAGTAATAGTTGTCCCGACCCGGGAATCGCACCCGAGACCCCTTGCTAGGCAGTCCCACTTGCGACCACTCGGCCATCGAGGCATCGGAGACGGGTGTATTCTTTATGCCTCGCTGTGTACGGCGGCCCGTGACTACTGAGCCCCCTAGAGTCCCCAGTCTATGCACCCGTAGCCCCAAAGGTCCCGAGCGTACGGCGCGTTGCGTTCCGCGCGCGCCTCAAAGAGCCATCAGACCACCACACGCAGGAGAAGGAACGGGGTGGTTTTTAGTTAGTAAGAGTCTGACACTCCCTCCCGCCTCACCCAGGCGGTAGCAGTCATTCGTTGATTTTCCCCCCTTAAAAAAAAAGCCCCAAATGTCTGTGTGAAGGTGCTTGCTCTGCTATAAGCTATCTCCTATTACAATAAAACTTGCAGAAGGTTTACTTTCAATTCTAAACACAAACGCCCATCCCTTCAGGAAACAGAAGGTCTGATGTTAAGTAATTGTTTTTAACCTACCACAATTTTATAATTACAAGCCTTGAACATGATAGCGGACGGAAATGATATCGCAATATCATGTGTTCTATGCTTCGTGCGGACACAGTTCAGAACACCACAAGAATCTATTCAATACTATACATACAAATGCTTACTTGACAATAATTCTGCTTTCTTTACGGATACAGAGAGCACCGAAATGTCAGTGGTGTATTTATGACTTTATTTATTTACAGTCACAACGGTTGAAGAAAAAACCAATCACAGTAATTGGCTGGACACATTAATAAAACAAACGATGAAATAATAAAACGGAACGCGACGCGCCGTTCGCTCGGGTCTGTTTCTGGTCGGACGGGGAGCCACCCATGCTCGCCGTCCGCAGGCCCGCGCTTACGGTGGCCGGAGATCGTCCCGCGATTCCGACGCCCGGTGTGTCCTTCGCGATGGCTAGGTTGCGAGGAGGCAGCGCTTCGCTGCCTCACGCGTCCCGCCTCCTCCTTAGCTAGCATAACTGCTTTGCAAAAGAAGGAGACGGCATCCCAGTCACCCTCGCTAAGCATCATGACCTGCACTAGGCCCAGATAACCTCCCAAAACCGCAATAACAGCTGTGCACCAGGATCTACAGTAGCTATACAATCATGCAAACACTGGAACACTGAAGTCCAATGTCCCAGCGACATGAACAATTGTCTTGGATCCGCAACGAAATAAATCAGAAGATATTACAAGAGGAGAAGAAAAAAACGATAGTTTTCACCTCCATCGGTGAATTACTGCAGGAGACAGAATGAATTAAGCCAGTACAGTACAGTACAGTACAGAATGAATTAGACACAGTATTTAGGTTGATAATGAGTTTAATGAGCTACTTACGAGTAAACGTATGGTCCAACTTCTTCCACGTGCAATTTCTCATCCAGTCCGTCTTTCACTCTCTCCCAGTTTGTATAATTGAAGATATGCACCTTCATATGAGGCTGTACATCTGGCCGCTTCCATATTTTGAACGCTAAGGAGTTATTCCGAATCACCATGCTCTGTGAACAAAACACAGATATAAGTACGTGAGTCGCCTGGACAGTCAACCTCATTGTATCCTTGTTGACTGGACATCTACACTACATGAGCTGCTGTTTACATGTGAACATTAGCTCATGACGATACCTAAGTACGTGTGTCGCCTGGACAGTCAACCTCGCTACATCCTTGTTGACTGGACATCTACACTACATGAGCTACTGTTTACATGTGAACATTAGCTCATGACGATACCTAAGTACGTGTGTCGCCTGGACAGTCAACCTCGCTACATCCTTGTTGACTGGACATCTACACTACATGAGCTGCTGTTTACATGCGAACATTAGCTCATGACGATACCTAAGTACGTGTGTCGCCTGGACAGTCAACCTCGCTACATCGTTGTTGACTGGACATCTACACTACATGAGCTGCTGTTTACATGTGAACATTAGCTCATGACGATACCTAAGTACGTGTGTCGCCTGGACAGTCAACCTCGCTACATCCTTGTTGACTGGACATCTACACTACATGAGCTGCTGTTTACATGTGAACATTAGCTCATGACAATACATAAGTACGTGTGTCGCCTGGACAGTATTTAGCACATTTAGACACTAATCAAAATAAAATGAATTGACAAGGTGTCTGTCAAGTAAGTGACCCGAGGTTCGATACAAAGTTCACACCTTCTTACATAATGTATGGGTTTCGTAATAACACCATCAATCATATGCAAAGGTACTTGACCTCTATTCATTGTTATGGGGAAAGTAATGCATGACATAATTATAATGGTCATGTTAAGAACTAAAAACACGCTATTAGTTCGTCCTCGTCATCAGAAGAAATTGACAAATCTACTGAACCCGAACTAGATACGTTTGCTAGTAGACAGCACAAGGTTCCATGAGCAATCTTCCAATTCCATCATCAAACCAACTGTTTTGTAACATAATATTGTATTTTTTTAAATCGTTGCCCCACACTAAGATTTGCTCCTGTGTCGTGTGTGCGTTTACAAACATACAAGTTGACATACACAATGACACACAGACCCGAAACAACAATTTGTGGATCACACAAAGTGCTGTTCAGTGCGGGAATCGAACCCGCGACACGTTGCACGGTAGCCGGTTGCCCAGTCACCGCAACAACCGTGCAGTGGTATTGTCATCTAATCAACATACAATTGCCAAGTTTCATGCTACAATTAGAAGTGTGTGTAATTCAGATTCTTAATGTGCTTCTTCACCGGGAGCATTCACATGTAATGTAACATTATAGATTCGACTTTGAGCATTACATTACAATAATACCTCCCTGACTAACGAGCATTTGCGTGTAATGTAACATATAGATTCGACTTTGAGCATTTCATAGCAAGATGTCAGACATTGATGTTACAAGTTGTATCAAGATATTACATATTGTATCATTACAAGGTGCGCATTGTAATGCTCGGTTCTCCTCCTTCACTGATGTTATGTTCTAGGGGCTTACTCTTGAATCCAATTCCGATCGATCGACATTGGTATTGTGCAATTTCGTACTCTTGAGTTGCAACACTAGCGCACATTGCATCCGTATTGCGCGGATATTGAATGAACTGAGTGGTATTGAGTTTGGCTTTATATTTCGTACTCTGAATGCTATTTTAACAGCTACGATACGATAGGGGTAGATAACTAATTTTTATTTTATTGTCCGTCTGGTAGATAGATTATTTTAAATCATTGGACACGTATTTTTTATTTTTTACAGAAACAAATACTTTCGATGAAATATATTGCGTATTGCGTGGATATTGAATGCACTAAGTGGTATTGACTTATTGAGTTTGGCTTTATATTCCGTACTCTGAATGCTATTGTAACAGCTACGATTGTGATTGTATAGTTTTGATATTGAATAATTATTGAGATTTTATTGGATTGAAATTGCATTGACATTGAGATTGGTTTCAAGAGTAAGCACCTTGATCTGTAACGTTACATTATACGCGAATGCTCCCGGAGAGGGAGCACCTTTAGATTTTATTACATAGTTCGTTACAGGTCGACCTGATAAAAACGAGTTTATTAATATTAAAATATACTTACTGATAGTATGGCGTCGTTGATAGTATTCGTGAAACAAAAAAATATCGTTCCAATCATACTTAGAACAAATGTTGTAGAAATCAGGAGCAATACTGAAACAAACAGACAAACAAATTTATATATACTGTAAATAGAGAATCTTACACCTAACATCACGCCTTTTATTCCCAAAAAGATAGGCAGAGGTCCAAATTACACCACTTAATGCCCACCAATTTATGCTGAGTCCCATGTAATAGGGGGTTTTTTTTTGAGGTTGGATAATCATCGAGTGACTGCTCCCGCCTGGGTGAGGCGGGAGGGTGTGTCAGACTCTTACTGACCAAAAACCAACCCGTTCCTTCTCCTGCACTTCGAGCCGGAGCCCCGGTAACCCATTAGGTTCTCCGCAACTCCGAATCGGCATCAGCCCTATTGGGCCCCATCCGTGGTGGTCTGATGGCTCTTTGAGGCGCGCCCGGAACGCGATGCGCCGTACGCTCAGAATTGTCAAAGGCAGAGGTCCACATTACAACACTTAATACCACAATGTAACACCCACTTTCCACTATTTATGTGGAGTCCCATGTAATAGGGGGTGAGCCTATTGCTATATACCGCGCAGAATTCCAGACTCCGTGCTACTACTGTGATTATTATCTTATATACAATATTATATAAAACGAAAGAGTTTGTTTTTTTGTTTGAACGCGCTAATCTCCGTAACTACAAATCTGATTTGAATAATTCTTTTTGTGTTGGATAGCGCATTTATCGAGAATGGCTATAGGCTATAAAACATCACGCTACGACCAATAGGAGCTGAGCAGAGCGTGTGAAACCGCGCAGAAGTAGCTAGTATGTATATAAAATAGGTATAGATTTCAAATTCTTGTTACTAAGACCTACTTAAGTAGCATAAATACTAATTACTGTAGATCCAAGTCCAGCTCTGAAGGTCAGTTTTCATGCTCATCTGAGCACAATATGTGATAGACGTCAGCGGGTACAATTATTAATCGGTAATTATAAGTTACTTGTAGTATATTTTGTAATTATGTACTTATGATGTCCGTTGGAGTATAACTGACTAGTATTGTCACGAAATCGCCATCACGAAGGACACTCCGGGCGTCGGGGATCGCGGGACGATCTCCAGCCACCGTCAGCGCGGGCCTGCGGACGGCGAGCATGGGTGATTCGCCGTCCGACCAGAACCAGACCCGAGCGTACGGCACGTCGCGTTCCGCGCACGCCTCAAAGAGCCATCAGAGCACCAGGCTGATGCCGATACAGAGCCGCAGAGGACTTGACAATTTTTTTTCAAGGGGGGAAAAACATCAAATTACTTCTCCCGCCTGGGTGAGACGGGAGGGAGTGTCAGACTCCTACTGACTAAACACCACCCCGTTTCTACTCCTGCTCTTCGAGCTGGAGGCTCGGTAACCCATTAAGTCCTCCGCGATTCCGGATCGGGCATCATTCCTACTGGGTCCCATTTAGTCTGATAGGTCTTCGAGACGAGCGCGGAACGCGATGCGCCGTACGCTCAGGGACCTTAGTACGAATTTATTTTAACTGTTAAATTCGTTAACAGTTGAAACGCCATTTTATGTTATGATGCAAAATGAAATTAATACAAGTTTTTCTTTTTATGGAATAGGAGGCAAACGAGCAGACGGATCACCTGATGGTAAGTGATCAGCGCCACCCATGGACACCCGCAACACCAAAGGAGTCACAGGTGCGTTGCCGGCCTTTTAAAAAGGAGTACGCTCTTTTCTTGAAGGTTTGAAGGTCGTATCGGTTCGGAAATACCGCCGACGACAGATCATTCCACAGTTATGCTGTGCGAGGCAGAAAGCTACGTGAGAAGCGCACTGTTATGGCCTGCCAACCATCTATATGATGGGGATGCATATGCTGTCATGAGGGTCGATGGCGAAAAGATGCGGCAGGTATCAGGTCAAACAATTCCTCAGAGCACTCCTCTTTTTTCTTTATTCAATCAGTATTTAATATTATAATGTACAGCGACTGCAATTTATACGTTTGTCACAAACCATTGTATGCCTAACATGGTGAAGCAGTGCCTGAACACAACAACCTTTAGAACAACCCTTGTAACCACTGTCTCACGATAAAGATCTTTCACTTTGACATTTAAAGTAACCGTACGTGTACGCGTTCGGCGCTCTGATTGGATGATTCATTGCCGCCAGCCAATCGTTTTTCGTTTAAAGAAATCGAAACGAGACGGCGTTCTGTGCTCTGATTGGTGTGTTCATTAGAGCCGGCCAATCAGAGTGCCGAAACGTAAATGAAACTCGTACTAAGGCTTCAGGTCTGGTTGGGCGGCGAGCTACGCGTGCTCGCCGTCCACAGAGGCTTTACGATTTGGCCTATCCGAAAATCAAACGTGTCACGTTTGACTCAATAAAAGAGACGTATTTATTTTAAAGTTTAATAAACATCATCGTATGATCTGTCGGTTATCAGTAAAAAAAGCAATATTTCTTTGTATTTAGAGGTCAAGCAAATAATAATGTATAGGTAATTATATTATAAATGATTTATTGAAAGACAGATATCAAATTGATTTATTTCTTCATCTGTTGCCCACGACTTCGTCCGCGTAGAATATGATTCCTGTTTTATCCCGTGGGAGTATTTAATCCGGATAAAAAGTCTCCTATCACCTAAGTCAGCCCATAACCTGCCTGTACACCAAAAGTCATCAAAATCAGTTTAGTAGTTTAAGCGTGTTTGACAGACAAACATCCAAACATCCAAACATCCAAACATCCATACATCCTAACATTCATACATCCAAACATCCAAACAAAGAAGATTGTATTGTCACCACCGCTACTCTTCCCGCGGGTGTCGTATACCCGACCCGTATACCATTGTCAAATGGAAGGTCTCTTTTAATTTTCTTCTTTCACAAACTAGCGTTGTTAATGAAATGAAATTTGCTGTGGTTTTTGACCCAAATCAATAACCGATAGCTGGATCGTTCTCGACTTTAGTTCAAAGATTTTGAATAGCAATTCATTATTAATTTCGTACGGCAAATCATTATTTTACATACACTATTTTTTTAATGGGACAATCCCGCCACAACCTCCCTAAACCGCTGCAACTCCTGTAAACCAGGACCTACAATAGATACAACCATGCAAACACCGGAACACTGAAGTCCGGCGCGTCCCAGGGACATGAACAACTGTCTTGGTTCCTGCAACGAAATGAATCAAAAGATATTATAAGAGGAGAAAAAAAACAATAGTTCCCACTTCCCTCGGTGAATTACTGCAGGAGACAGAATGAATGAAGCCTAAAGGCACAAAAAAGAGACTGTACAACTGAGTGAAGCCCAGTCGCCAAGCACCATGGAAATTTGTTTGACACCGCCAACCCGCATTGAGCAAGCGTGGTGATTAATGCTCTAACCTTCTCCGTGTGAGAAGAGGTTTTGCTCAGCAGTGGGCATTTATAGGTTGTTAATGTACGATGATAATGACTTGACCTATTTTCCTTTTTTAAATTATCTTACTTTATTAGTTTATTGACCATTTCTAATCATCAAATACATAATAATGATATTGTTTTAGACACAGCTATAGGTACTTTTTTTTTCAAATTAATTATTATGTTTTCGGCTTACTCATGTAATTATTTGACGAGGAACTCGACTAGTTTCAAGCCATGCTAGAGGCTCATATTCATGAGCAGCGACCCGGCGGGCTTGCTGATACAGCGGCGCGACAGTTGCCGCGTCGCGTCAGTTTCCCTAACATAAACATTTACCATGACACTTTTTTTTAAGGGGGGAAAATCATCTAATGACTGCTCCCGCCTGGGTGAGGCGGGAGGGAGTGTCAGACTCTTACTGACTAAAAACCACCCCGTTCCTTCTCCTGCACGTCGAGCCGAAGCCCCGGTTACACGTTAGGTTCTCCGCGACTCTTACTATGACACTTGTCGTGCAGACCACACTCTTCTTGCTAAAACAATGCTATGTTAATGAATGTAAAATAATACATATAAGTACATTGACACGATTTGGCCACGCGCTATCAGGGCTAGAGGTCAGCCCAAGTAAATACTCGTATATAATATATGTGTGTACGTTTGTACGTATTTCCACACTAACCTACTTCCTATTTTAACATGATTTGAATGTGATAGGGATACGGTAAGCAGTGCATCGAAATTTGACGTTATTTAAGTGTGGGGGACCCATGCTTCGGCGCGAATGGGCCGGCTCGACCGGAGTGATACCACGGCCGAGCAGAAAACCGACGTGAAACAATGCTTGTGTAGTCTGTCGTCGTGTGAGTAAAGTTACCGGAGGCGAAATTATCCCCCCTCCTTAATCCTCCAATCCCAACAATCCCTAAAGGCCGGTAACGCACTTATAACGCCTTTGGTGTTTCGGGTGCTCATGGGCGACAATAGGTTCCCATTAGGAGATCCGTCTACTCGTTTTCCGGCTTATCCCACAACCAAAAATAATGATTTTCTGTGTCCGTGACATAAATCCAATGACATGAATCCCTAATAATCCTTAAATTTCTAATCCCCAAAAGGTCGCCTCTAGTGTTTCCATGGGCGCCGATTGCTTACCATCAGGTGATCCGTCTGCTCGTTTACCGGCCTATAAAAAAAACCTTTTCAGAGCCTCCTGATAGTCTTCTTTCTGATAGTCCAATACTATAACTCGGAATTATATATATATAGAAAATAATATACGATATTGGACAGTTACGATTTATCAATGATAACAATAACAAATCTATACTAATATTATTTTGAAAGTGTGTTTATACATATAGGTGTCCGGCTCTGTTTGTTTGTCCGTCTTTCATGGCAAAACCGAGCGACAGATGAACGTGAATTTTTAAGTGAAGATAATTGAAAACACATAGGCTACTTCTTGTCTCATTATAACCCCCCACTTTCCTAAAATGAAGAATGGAAGTTAGTAGAGCGTTTCGCATTTTTTAAGGTTAAACGTTAAAAAATAGTAAATATTTGGACTTCGTGCATTGTTTTCATTAAAATATCAGGCTAAGACGAAAACGAGTTGAACAGCTGCACGGTTGGT